AGCAGTTAGTGTAATGGCTATGTCGCTGGACTCCCGTGTAGCTGACCACGGTTCGAGTCCTGGACCCAGTGGCTTAAATTCACGGCAAGCATGCCCAAGATCTCAAGAGGAGGATGGAGGAGAAGGGATTGCGGCATGGCCACCTCCCCGGAAGATGATTTCTTGCTTTCTGTCTCTCTGTCTCTCTGTCTCTCTCTGGCAAGCGCACATACTCTATAGTAAAAACCTCTCCAAAAAGAAAAAAGAAAGGAAAAAGAAAAGGCTGCTGGGCACACGCCATGCATGTATGCCCAAAATCCTGAGAAGAGAATGGAGGAGGGGTGATTAGAGCATGGCCATCTCCCCGGGGGCAATTTCTCTCTTTCTCTCTCTGTGTCTCTCTCTAGGAAAAGAAAGAAAATGATGTATATGGTGACAGCCTTCATTTGATTGTCATGTACTACATGCATAGTTTGAAAAACCACATTGTGAGCTATAGGCACGTACAATACAATGATGGAATGCAAATTCAAAGTTAAAAAAAGAGTCCTGTCCCCTTGAGTGACCCTATGTACCTCTCTTTGTCCCCCATCATGAACTGGAATGTCCCACCATGATACATTGTATCTGGGGGCAGGGACCCTGTCTCTTTAATTCAAGAGTCTCCAGACCAGGAGGAACCAGAGAGAAGGAGCCTCATCTGCAGCTGGACCTAAGTTAGATGATGACATCCTGAACTTGGAGCCGAGGCCACTGTTGGAGACTTCAGAAGGCCTTGGGAGGGGTGGGGATACTTTGCATGCAGGAGGGACATGAGTCTTCGGCAGCCAGAGTGGCAGCTGGCCTCCAAGAGGCTCCTGGTGCCCCACTTCCCGATATTCGCTCTTGTGTGTAGCCCTGCCCCACATCGGACAGGGCTGACCTGTGTGACCAACAGGACACTGCAGAAATGAGGTGCGTGACTTCCGAGGCTGGGTCCTGAAAGGCACCGGGGCTTCTGCCTGGCCCTTTCTTGGATCACTCCAAGAGGACCAAGCTGACTGACATGTCATGAGGACACTCAAGCTGCCCTCTGGAGAGACCCACAGGGCAAGGAAAGGTGGCCTCCTGCCAACAGCTAGCATCAACTTGCTGGCCACAGAGCGAGCTGCCCTGGCAGCAGATGGTCCAGCCCTACTCAAGCCTCCCAGGGAATGAAGTCCCGGCTGACGCCTCGACGCATGCTCATGACAGACTCCAAATCAGGCCAGTTAAGCCACTCCTGAATTCCTGACCCTTGACACTGCGTGAGATAATGTACATGCTGAGTCCTGTGCCTTCTACAATGTTCTGGGACCCTCTGCTCCCCACTGCCCCCTCTCCCTGCATACGCAGAGCGCCTAGTCTGAAGTGCAGCGCCTGATAACCCAGAGCCTCACTCCATGACTTCCTCTCAGTGCCTCACAGGTAAGTCTGGCTTCTCCTGCCTCTCCCCCCCATCTAGAACTGGAGTGCCCCAACAAGGAGGTTTTAAGCTCCTTCAGGGTAGGATGCCTGTTCTCACCTTCTCATTTGTTCTTACAGCACTTAACTCAGGGTGGGCATTTTATTGCAACATACACTTGCTGCCTCGGCTCATGCCAGCCATGTGCAGAGTGCTGGGCGGCCAGGAAAGCCACCTAGAAAGACAGAGGCAGGAAAGCAGCAGTAGTGGACAAGAGATCGGGCCATTGTTTCCTCTGTAAATCCCAAGCCATGGAGAAGCCTCAATCAGTGCCCATCAGGGCAGAGAGGTGCACTCCCTAGCAGGAGGGCACCAGCTATCAGGTACAATACGGCTTTTTGGTGTAATACTCCTCCACCAGGAGGATAGAGTGTACAGTGGCAAGACTGGAGGATGCTGGGTAAAAGGGTGACTCCTTCTGGGGCCAGAGATACCAGAGAGCAGCAAGAGAGGCTGCCTGAGTGGAGCAGGAGCAAGAACAAGTGGGGGCCCCCTCGCCCTTCCCCCTGACTCCGAGCCTCTGTGGGAAGAAGTCCTTGGCCCATGCCCCCTTTCGTGTTACAGGAGTGTCCCCTGCCCTCCGTGTGCCTTGCATCCCACTACAAAGCCTTGAGCCATGGGGGCAACTGGAGCATGTGGTGGCAACTAGGAGAGAGGTGGGAGGGCCTAAAACCTCTCCAGGAGGACATATCAGCAGACACGGTGCCAGGCAGAATAATTAGACAAAAGCATCAGAGTGCGGGGCTCAGTGGCAGCGCTGGTCACTTTGTGTGCGACAGGCCATCCGAGTGTCTGTGGAGGAGCCGGGGGGGAGGCTGGGAGCTTCAGACACCCACCTTTTACTTCTCAAGATGGTGGTGTTTCCTACCCAGCTGCCCCCCGCAGCCACCCATTCAGGCCTTGAGTGGCGTATGGAGAGAGCTGGGGCTTCCGAGGCAGACAGGCATGCTTCACGCCCCTACTCTGTCACTCATGACCACTGAGTAACCACGCCCTAGTCCCTGACGTCCTCGAGCCTCAGGTCCTTCACTATGAAATAAGGATAATGAAAATGTGCCTAACACTGAGAGCCACATGGGAAGGGAGCACTTCACACAGGCCAGGGTTCCCGCTCGGCCCTTGGGGCCCTTCCACTCTGGGGGCCAAATGGAGCATACACTACTACTTTGCCAAGCCCTGTGCCTCTGTCCCTGTCCCCTCACTCTGAACTCTGTCTGAAGCACAAGGACACACACCAACCCTGGGAAAGGACTTTAGGATTAGCAAAAACAGTCACAGCCATTACCTACTTTGCTCCCCCAAACACCTTTGTGAGACAGAAAGGACATGGTGGGGACCAGAAGGTGGCATAATGGTTACGTCACTGGACTTCCACATAGTTAACGGCGGTTTGAGTCCTGGATCCAGTGGCTTAAAACTCACGCCAGGCGTGTGTGTCTGTGTGTGTGCATGTGCACATGCGCCCAAAATCCCAAGAGGAGAATGGAGAAGAGACTGCAGTGTGGCCAACCCTCCAGGTGGTGATTTTTTGCTTTCTCTCTCTGTCTTTCCGATGAGCACATGTGCTGTATAGCAAAAATCTCTCTTAAAAAAAAGAAAGAAAGAAAGAAAGAAAGAAAGAAAGAAAGAAAGAAAGAAAGAAAGAAAGAAAGAAAGAAAGAAAGAAAGAAAAGGAAGAAGAAAGGACCTGGCATGTCATGTCCATTTTTAAAGATAGGGAAATAGACAGGAGTGCCTTGTTTGAGCTGGAACAAATTTCTGGGAGAGTTGGGGTAAAGGAGGGGTTGAACACCTGGGCTCCCACAGTTTGCCAGTGTTAAAGGAGCTGGACAGAGCCTTAAGAATCACAATCACTGGGGCCAGCGGGTGGCATAGTGGTTAAAGCACTCGACTCCCACATGGTCAACTGCAGTTCGAGTTCTGGACCCAGCAGCTTCAAACTCACACAAGGTGCATGTGCGTGAGTGCCCCAAATCCCAAGAGGAGAATGGAGAAGGGATTGCTGTGTGGCCACCCCCCCGGGGGGGGATGATTTCTGACTTTCTGTCTCTCTGGTGAGTGCACAGGCCCTATGGCAAAAATCTCTCAAAAAAAAAAAAATCACAACCACCAAAAACAAGCCCATATGGCCTTCTGTTGTTAATAACAAATAGGTATTACGGGTATCCATGTGAACCTAAACCTTCACTGCTCACAAATGTGCAGTTCATCCAGGTGAGGCCTGTCTGAGCCAAACACCAATGCCACAGGCATCAAGCGCAGAAGTGATGCTGATTTGGAATGGGGGAGTCCCAGGGATACCTGCCTGGCTACTGACTGGCGAGTGCCCGCTCTGCTTCCCTCCATGAGAAGCAGGAGCTGGGGAGCGGGAGTGTGGAAAGGCAGCTATAGCCCAGGCCCCAGTGGAATTCCTTCAGCCCTACCCTCAAGAAGCCTTTGTCTGGACATCCAAACCCTGGCTTCAACACGTTCCTTTCTACCTTGATTAACTCAGAAAGCTCCATGATTGGTTTCCAGTGAGTTAAACCCAGACAAAGGCTTCTTGATTGGATGTTAACAAGCTATTCAGGCTAACATCCTGCCATATTCTCTAACTCTTCTTACCTCAAAGGAGATCCAAGGACTGCAGAGGAAAATCTGTCACAGGCCAAGCCCTAGAGTAGCTGTAACTTTACCCCTCTTCATTTCCCCCCTCCAGCCGTTCCAGAACTAGTTTACAATACCTCAATACATACGGGTTAATTTGATCCTCCCCACCTACTCCCCCACACCAGGATGGCTGAGAGGAGCTTGGTGCAAAGCCTGCCTCCTCCAGGCCACTCCCTCCCCTCCCCACTCCAACTCCCCTGGAAGGCAACTCACCTTTGCCTCTTCTGAGATGTTTCCCATGTGCTTGGTCTTGCACTTTCGTTTTCCTGATGGCTTTTCAGCATTTTCAAGGCAGGCTGGCTCCTCCAGGTTATTTGGGAGGAAACCATTTGGTGAATCCGAGATCCCCTGGGCTTTGTTGGGTGAGAGAGGGTTCCTGTTCCTGAGGCAATGCTCCGAGCTCTGGGGAGACGGCTTCTGTTTCCGGGACTTTAAATCTGAAGGCAAGAAACGGGAAAGAATGGACATCAAAAATGAAACACAGAAAAGCAATGCCTTCCTTGAAGATGAACCAGAAGACTTTAGGGCTTAGAATCGCAGTGCAGAGCTATATAACTATCTGCTATGGGGGTCTGGTACAGTGCTGATCGGTCCAGCAAATGCTTCTCAGATGGACAATGCCTCAGCTGCCAAGTCCTTCCTCTAGAAGCAGGAGACAGCACTCAGCCCTGCCAGCAGGGGGCAGCCCATCCAGCTGTCCTCAAGATGAGGCTAATTCTTTCCACACACCCACCCCAGAGGTTTTTGCTATAGGGTGCATGCGCTCGCCAGACAGACAGAGAGAGACAGAGAGACAGAAGGCGAGAAATCACCCCCCAGGGGGGATGGCCACGCCGCAATCCCTTCTCCTCCACTCTCCTCGGGATCTTGGGCACGCACGCACACGCGCCCGGCGTGAGTTTTAAGCCACCGTGTCCGGGATGTGAACCGCGGTCGACTACATGGGAGTCCGGCGACATAACCATTACACTAACTGCTGGTCCCAAGATGACGGTAATTCTAAAAGGATTTCTCTACAGCCTGGAACAAATCGGAATTTCCTTTCTTCAAATTTTATTTATGATAGAGGGCATGTATGTGTGCATGAGAAAGAGGGGGTGAGAGATGCATCCTAAACAGGGTCTCACTGCACCGTGGTCCCCTCCCTGGCCCTCCCGCTTGTCAGGACCTTGGGCATGCATGTATGCACCCAGTGTATTTTCAAGCTAACTTGGGTACCCAAACCCAGTTGGCCATGGGGCTGCTAGCATTGTGGTACATTTGCTACCTACTGCACCACCAGGTTAGGCCCAAGTAGGAATTTCTTTTCAGCTATTCCCCACCTCCTTTGTCTCTTTCTCCATCCGATATTAAAAGAAATCTAGCTGGTCTCGTGAAGTTAAGTATCAAGCACACTGGGAGTAAGTGGTAGGTGGCTGCCTTCGCAGCCTCGGCTTTAGCCACTGAGTGGCCTGCTCAAAACCCCAGAAACTCCCTGAACCCAGAAATTTGTGTGGGCCTACTTAGCTGGCAGTCAGTGGCTCAGGGGCAGACACCTGCCTTTCCTGGTTGGAAATCAAGTCACTGGGGTCACTGGAACACATGAGACCACATCTCTAATTCTGGCCACTGAACGGACCAGTCTAATTTCAGAGAAACCTGCTGGGGAGGCAGCAGGGGGCATGGAGGCAAATAGCTGATGCTACATTTCGAGTCCCAGACCCAGCAGCTTGAAAATCACACTAGGCGTATGTGCGTGCATGTCCAAAATCCCTAGAAGAGAATGGATTGTGATGTGCCATCCCCTCTAGGGGTGCTTTCTCACTTTCCTTCTTTCTCAGGTAAACACATGTGCCTAAGGCAAAAAAAAAAAAAGGAACTCCATTATCAAGAACTTCATACCATCAGGTCTGTCCTAAGCCCCATGTGTAGGGTCAATAGTGTTTACCCTTGGGACCAGCAGTTAGCGTAATGGCTATGTTGCTGGACTCACATGTAGTCGACCGCGGTTCACATCCTGGACACGGTGGCTTAAAACTCACGCTGGGCGTGTGTGCGTGCATGCCCAAGATCCCGAGAGGATAATGGAGGAGAAGGGATTGCGGTGTGGCCATCCCCCCTGGGCGGTGATTTCTCACTTTCTGTCTCTCTTTCTCTCTGGCAAGCGCATGCACCCTATAGCAAAAAAAAACCTCTCCAAAAAAAAAAAATGTGTTTACCCTTGTAACATTTGCATTATGTGGCTTGGCCACTAACTTTGTGAACTTCAGTTTCTTTTTGTGTAAAATGGGACGACTATGATCCACACCATCAAAGTGGTATGAGAATTAAATGAGGGGATGCATGCAAAACGCCCCTTATGGAGTGTTATAAACAGTCAGGTATCGTGGCATATTATTTCAGTGTAAGCTCTTTGGGCAAGTAGGGCCATAGCTATGTGTTTTTTATCTCCCCCACCGGACTGAACACCATGCGTAGCACATGGCCTGTGAAGTGAATTTGCTGAAGCCTCAGTTTCTCCAATTTGTGAGATAGAGGGATTGAGATCCAAGAGTTCTCAACTTGGCACAGGCTCTCAGGCACGATGAGGGCAAGGCAAGGGCAGATCCCGATGGCCAAAGCATTGTTGCAAAACGAGCAGCTGGCCATCGCTTACGCAAAGATCTTTGAAGGCCAGCTGCCATACTACCCCCTTTTCCCAACTAGTCCAAGTCTACTAGTGGGTCTCCAAGAATGACCATGCTAAACAGTCTCTAATGGTGCTTCTAGCCAGAACATTCTAAACCAGGGCTTTTGATGTAAGAAGTTTAAGCTGAGACAAAAGGAAGAGGAACAGAACCATGCCTTATGAGGCCCTCGGGAAACACAGGGAAGCTATGTTACAGTGTTCGATGCCACAGGAAAAGAAGCAGCCCCTACCCTGTTTACCCAGGGCAAGGGCAGGCTCTGGAGTGTATTCGGTCATGGAGGAGCAAGGGCTTTAAGGTACAGAGAGTGGAAGTATTAGGTATGTGAGGGGAGGCAGCTCTTTCTACTCCCTCCACAGGTCAAGAAAGGGGACAGTCAAGTCCAGGATGAAAGGAAAGGTCACAAGGCTCAGGCAGGAGTAGAGTGACCTGCCTAGTTTGGGCTTGGCCTGATTCTCTGATATCAACCTGGAAGATAGCTAGTAGTGAGAGAGACTGGAGTTTTCTGAGAAGATGTTTACCAGGCATTTCCTCCATGAAGATGCTGTCATCAGGTCTGAAAGAAGGTGACCAAGCCACATCTAGGGTCTTCAGTAAGTTCAGAGAAATGTGTATCATGAGAAAACTATGCATGGGACCAGCTGGTGGTGTAGTGGTTAAGGTGACTGGATCCCACTGACCAACCATGCAGTTCAAGTCCCGGACCCAGCAGCTGTAAAACACACCAGGTGCATTTGCATGTGTGCCTAAATTCCCAAGAGGAGAATGGAAGAGAAGGGATTGCTGCATGGCCATCCTCCCAGGTGGTGTTTTCTCACCCCCCCACCCCATCTCTCCTGTTAGCTCATGGGCCCTATAGCAAAATTTAAATAAAAAGTACAGATTTCAACAAATTTTTGAACCAAAATAAACTCGTACTCTTTTTTTCTTTATTGCCCAAGGGTACATGAGCTCATCAAAGAAAGAGAGAGAAATAGGGAGAGAGAGACAGTACCCTGAAATGGGGAATGGTTATGTCACAATCCTTTCTCCTCCATTTCTCATCCTTTTAGGATTTTGGACATGCACATGCATGCTCCCAGCACGTTTTCCAAGCTGTCGGGGATGGGATTTGAACTGCAGTCAGCCATGTGAGATCCAGCTCCACTTAAGTGCATAGCACTTAACCACTGCACTACTGGACTGGCTCTCATACTTTAATTCCATTTTTCCGTGAACTTTCTAAAGTCTCCATGTATGCCAAGGTCAGCTGCCTTGATGCAAAACCCTGAGACACGACACATCCATGGGACAAGAATGACCTATCCTCCAACAGCTGGAGCTGCCCCCAAATCAAATAGGACACCATGATCGGGAGTGTTCTCCATGTTACTAGAGGTGTTCAAGCAAAAGCTAGCCAGCTACCTGTCAAGAATGCTGTGGAGATCTCTGTCTCTGCACTGTGTGGCAAACTATACCAGGCAACCTCAAAGGCCTTCTGGTTCCAAGAGCTGGTAAATTCCATGGGAACCTTCCAAGCTGGGGAAATGAGCTCCCATTAGAGAACATAGGATGATACAAAAGTTCCTCTTTATCCTAGTGCAAGTGGCTAAGGCCACTGGCTTGAAAACCAACTCCTGACCAATCCATTATGGCTCTGGCAGAAGAAAGGGAAAATTATCCTCACTCTCTCAAACAGTAGATACAAATTAGCTCAATTACTCTCTGGAGTATAGGGATAGGTATCACATATCTCACCCTTTAAACACAGCTGGAAAGGAGGTTAAGCCTTCTTTGCATTATAGCAAATCCAGAATATACTACTCACTCAATATAAGATTACTCGGTTTGACCTAGTAAACAGACAGTAGTTGTTAACCAAGCAACTCAGAATGCATACATTCTAGGAAACAATCAACTGTTGCTTCAAAGGCAGAGAGACAGAAGTGTTCTCTTGTTTTTCAAGTGATTTTTTGCTATGAGCACATGCACTCGCTGAACAGAGAAAGTGAGAAATCACTCCCCCGGGGGGATGGCCATGCTGCAATCCCTTTTCCTCCATTCTCCTCTCAGATTTTAGATGAAAAGTCTCCCCTAATGGAGCAAAGAGTCCTTTTCCTGTGACAGCCTTGTTTAGTCACACACACATGCCCAGCATGATTTTCTAGTCACCAGGACCAGGACAGGAACCACAGTCGGCCATATGGGAGTGCAGCACCTTAACCACTACACCACCTGCTGGCCACAGAGGTGTTCTTACGGAACCCAGAGATGTGCTTTTGCTCATTTAGAAATCCACTATTATAGGAAGGAGCCTGAACAGTCTGTCATAGAACACACTGATATTATTAACCTCTTGTGACAGTCTCTGCCTCCAAGATTCCATGTTACAGCATTTGATATGGCAAAGAAAGCCTGGTTTTCTCTTTGGGCTGCCTGTTTTCCTAGCTCAGGTCCAACAAAAATGATGCCACGTTGGGTCACCTCAAAGTTTTCCCTCTGCCTCTAAATAATATTCATGGTTTTAACCAAAAAGGGAGAGCTCCGCCTGCTTCTGCTTGAGGTTCTTCTATTGGTTTGAGAGAACCACTGTCCTTTATTTTAGTTTAGGGGCTGGAGGCATCCCAGACAAGGCAGCCAATGACCACTTTCCTCCTGACCCCAAGATTCTAGGAGAAAGAAAGGCCTGTTCTAAAAGACTCAACTCTCAAACCAACCAGAGAATTCTCTGGTATAGAGTTGTCCCAAGGATGCTACTGGGGCCTTGCCCACAGGCACAGACTTCTACAAGAAACCAGAGGGATCTGGGGCATTCGTGTCCTCAGCTTGCCAGTCAGAAATCCTTCAGTCTCAACCCAAAGCCAGAAGCTTGGGGTTGGAGTTGAGTGGGCCCCTCTGGCAGCTAGCTGGGGCTCAGAGCACCATGTTGCTACGGGCCCAGAAGCCTCTGACTGACATAGAGCAGGCCGTGGTGTGAGCACCCTAGATGCCCACAGGTTCCCAGAAGCCAAGATCACTTCTGTGGAGACAACAGCTCCCTGGCCAGCCTCACCTGCTCGGCCTTTCCGTCGCTGCTCTTCTTCTTGCTCGGTCAGGTACTCCCCAGTCTGGTATTTTCGGCTCTTCTGCCGTCTCCGCTTCTTCCTCTTTACCAGGCCCTCCTCTTCCTCTTCCTCCTCCTCTTCTTCCTCCTCCTCCTCCTCATTGGTGTCCCACATTTGCCGGGCAGCCTCTGTTCTCCAGGGCATCTCTCGAGCTCGCCACAGGTGCCTGCGGCCCTGGCTCAGCAGAGTCTTGTCCTGGGCATGATGGCTGCGATACTGGGTGTCCCGTTGGGCCTTTCTCACCTTTCGACGCTTGGCTGGAGTGGGAGTCACCTCCTCTTCCTCTTCCGTGGGGAAGACTTCCTGGCTTCCCATGTCACTGTCTGCCATACCAGCAAAGGAGCTACAGATGCTTCCTGTAGACAGGATGGACAAAGGATGGTCAGGTGCCTCTCCAGAGGACAAGGTACGGTTTCAAAGCCCAGGCCCTATGCTAGGAGTTTGAAGGTCTGAGGTTCAATTTCAAGCCCTGCTAGGCGGTGGCTGTATACTTGGGGAAAGTTCCTTTACAACAGTTTCCTCATCTATATAACCGGTACACTATTCTCCCCTCGCTGACCACACAGGGCTGTTCTGAGGCTCAAGTGAGATCCTTCACTCATAAGCGCTTGGGTCCAACGCATCGTACAACTTTCGGGCATAAGAAACACACGCCTTCAGTCATCCACAATGCCATGTCACTCGAATGCAGTCCACAAACTCCTGCTTAGTGCTTATGAGGTGCCATGCATCGTGTGCAGGGCAGGAGAGGGCCACAGGTTCCTGCTGTCGGGAAACCTGGGGTTTGGTGGAGGGCAAAGAAGGCCAGCCTGGCATCACTCCCGTGCCCCTGCTTGCCCTGTGGCATCGCCTATCTCACTTCACAGAGCTGCCCCAGACAAGCAAAATCACCACAACAGAAGCGTCTCAGGAAAAGCGAAGCAAGAGTCCCTTTCCTGTGACACAGCCTGGTTTAGTCACGCCCAAACGCACCACAAACAGGCCCTCTTCCCTTAAACTGACCCCACCTCCTACTGAGTTGCCAAGAGTTCAGGGGTGGGACGTTTCCCCTGGCGCCTCCCCCCAGCCTGCTGCAGCTGCTTCCCACCACTGGGAAGACATGTCCCCCTCCTCTCCTGACCACCCAGGACCCATGGCACCTCTCCTGCCCACCTCAGCCACTTTGGCAAGAGGCCATTTTCTGTCCCCTCTCTTTTTTCCAACTCTGCTAACAACAAAAGTACGATCCTAAATTGGCCCAGTTTCGCACTACAGGAGATCTGACACCTTCCTCGGAAGCAGCTGTGAGACACAACCATCCTTCTCCCAAGGCCTGGCTATTAACTCGACATTCCCTAGACCCAAGTGAGGTCAGCAGAAGAAAGACAAAGTTCATGCGAACGCAGCCGCTCTTGACCGCTTTGAGACAGCACCTAGCCAGCAAACTTTCTATTATACACACCAGGCAAGGAACGAAGTGTTCTGGGTAATCTAATATTCTGGTTAATACACAATCACCACAGAGATCACACAGGGATCACCAATTGCCAAAGAATCAAATGCAGTACAATGTGTTTAACACTAAAATGGGACTGGCCCTAATGTAATCGCTCTTTGATGATTCAGAGGACACTTCAGGATTTTGTGAGGCCTCCAGGCCATCATTACGAGTCCCAATTACCACCTTGCTCGCCATGTGCTGAAACGTCAGTTAATGAATGTCAGATAACTGAGTTTATAGTGAGCCCTGCCTTCCGGTCTATGCAATTTGCATGGAGATTTGGGTGAATGGGGCAAATTTCAACCCTGTGTACCAACACAGAGGCTAGCAGAAGATAAAAGGGCTCTGTTTTTAGACCCTGGGGTTGACCAATACCAATGTAGAGGGCCACTTGCGATTCTGCCAGCGCTAACCATTCGATGGCCTTTCCAAGGTTTCTTTTAAGGAGCTTACCATGGGGGTGTGTGAGTGTGTGCTTTCTGGAGGGAGACAGAGAGAAACAGAGGGAAAGTGAGACATCACTCCCCGGGGGCATGGCCATGCCGCAATCCCTTTCCCCACCATCCTCTCAGGATTTTAGGCATGTATACACATGCACCTGGCATGACTCTCAAGCCACTGGATCCGGGACTCGAACTGCAGTTGGCCAGTGGGTGTCCAGTGCCTTAACAACCATGCCACCTGCTAGCATTGGTCTTTCCAATTTTGATGATGTTAGTCACACAGAGCAATAAAACCGAGGCTCAAAGGTTAAATGTCTGTGCCTGAGATTGGCCCCAGTAATCATGAAATGCCAAGGCTCGGAGGGGACCCAGCTTTCCTGAGCAAAGCAGCCCTTTCTTTCCATCACTGGCTTCTGATAAGAGGCATCAAATCCTTGCTCTGCAAAGCTAGGCAAACTGCCCGAAAATCATGGGCAATGCTCACTCCCCCCACCAGGGGCTCTCTCGTCTCTACTAGGAGCTGGGCATCTTAGAACAGTGAATCAAATTCCCCACTGTCCAGCTGGGCCAGTAGCGGAATCGCTCAGTCAGATCACCACCTCTCCGTTCACAGAAGACACCACGATGGGCCATCGCCTCAGTCTCACTCACCAGACTGACTGCGTGTCCGGGTGCTCAGAACCACAGGGATGAAGTCACGGAAGCTGCTCTTCGCTTTCTTTTCCAAGGAACCTGAAGTGGTACGTGGTTTCGGGACAGAAGGCAGAAATATCACAGTCAGAGTCTAAACAGCAGAAAGTCCACCTGAGAGGCTCCGGTAGGAAAAAAGTCAAGGGAGGGCTAATATCTACCCTATACGGTTACCCTGGGTGACACTTATAAGCTCACCTTATGCTGCTATCACATGTATCTGCCCTAGAGAATGAGCATTTCCAGGTGCTTTTTGCACAGTGGGTGTCTGACCATCTTTGCTGACACCAAAAAAGGCAGTGCACAGAATCGATTCGACAGCATGCCAGAAAGTAGAAAGCCCGGCTGCCTCTATGACTCTGAGGCTGCTGCACCTCAACAAAGTTATAACCGAGCTGGAGCAGGTCCCAGAGAAGGGCAACCTCAATGAATCTTAGAGGACTGAGCCTGGCGGAGGGGGGGGGGGCAGGGAGCGGGGAACAGAGTAAAACTGCTATATAAGAGCAGGCTGGAAGAGGCAGGTCATGTCCGAGGAGCAGGACCACGGACACAGTCCACGGTGGTCAGGAGTGCTGAGGATTCGCTCCCTGATGAGGATGCCTAGAACTATCTGGGACAGAGCACACATGTTAAGCACACACCCCCCATGTTCCCTAATGATTAATGCGCCCCTAAAGGATAATAGGGGTTTAAGACTTCTCTAAACCCTTCCAGCTGGCTGCACAGCAGTTTATTTTTGTCTTTTAATTTTTATTGTAATGTTTTTTAACATCATTTTTTAATTGCCACAGGGTGTGCACACTCACCAGAGAGAGAGAGAGAGGAATAGCGAGAGAAAGCACCTCCCAATGGGGTGTGGTCATGCCACAATCTCTTCTCCTCCATTTCTTCATCCTATGGGGATTCTGGGCACATGCACACACATGCCCGGCATGTTTCTCAAGCCACCTTGGCTGTGGTCAGTCTTCTGGGCTCCAGCTCCCTTAACCACTAGGCTACAAAGCTGGCCCTATTTTTTTCTTTTTAGAATGGGAGTTTTCCAGTAAGCCCCAAAGGAGAGAAAACAGTGTGATGGCCCCCCTTTCTACTGGTTTTGTCCAAATTCTCCTTAAACCTTTTTCTTCTTTGAGCCTAAACCTACTGCAGGGAAACTGGCTGTCTGCTCTGTGGTAGGACTGCTGTCTGTCTGTCTGGAAACTGCCTACTTGGGCCTTAATCCAGGTCTAGGGGGAGGAGAAATATGTCCCTGCTCCCTCCTCCCTGGCCTTTGACTTCAGAGGTGTTGAGAAGTCTCACTTTTCCAGGCAGTCCCAGGGTCCCAAACCTCCCAGTAACAGGCCAGGCCACAGCCGGCCCCCCCCCCCCCAGCCCAGAAAGCCAGGGCCTCTGGGTCCTACCTTCCTCGTGGCCATCAGCTCGTTTTCCTGGAGACTGGGATTCCGGCTTTGTTGGCTTCCGGTGCTTGTGCTTTCCCCTGACTCCATTGTGCTCTTTTCCTGAATCTGAAGCCCCCCTGGGGCTTTTCTTGGTGGGTTCCTGGGGGTCACTGGGTGGCTTCCGGCACTATGGAGAGGTAGAGAGTCAGGTCTGAGGTCAGTTTCACAACTCAAGAAAGCTTTCCCAGGGTTGAGCTGTGTGTCCTGTTTCTGGTACCTGAACGCAGGCTGTTCAGGGTGGGGCATGGGGGCAAGGCCATCTTTGACCTTCCACAGTGGGCCACAGAGCCTCTTCTGGACTGACTCCAGTGCCCTGGCTACTCCCCAGAGGCATCCTCACCCCATCACTTGAAAGAGGTCTATGGAGTCTGCGTCAACAAGCCCTCGAATAAACATCCAAAGTCATTTGAAAAGGTGCAAAGTCAGGCCCCGTACTCTACATCCAGATACCAACGGAGAGAGCAAGAGAGCGGAGAGAGCGGCATTAAACAAAAATGCCTCTTCTGCAAGTTGGGTGGCTACATTGTTCAAATAACTTCGCTGTGAATGGTAGTGACACTAGCAACTGAGAATCACTCTCGGTTTGGGCCAACTCAAGAAAAATCGTCTATTTTCATATGTAAATTAATGCCAAAAAATAGATTCAACTAAGGCAAGAAGGGAAACACCACACGAGAGCAATTCACATCTCCCATACTTATGAAGCACGAGGGAGAGGCCCAGGCATTATGAATAGTGCCACTTTATACTCTGCGGCACTTCCAGCTTCTCCCAACGCTTTCGTCTCTGTTATTGGATTTTATCTTCCTAACGACCCTTCTCCGATATTAGAGAGCTAAGGCCATCCCGATTGAAGAGATGAGGAAACTGAGGCTGCACGACAAGAGGCTGAATGATTTGGCCAAGATGATGCACGGATCGGTGTGTTCACTAGTTTAGGACAACCTGCAAATAAGCTCATCTGTGCTGGCAGTGAGGAATACACAGGTCTGGGGGAACACAGATGGTGACATGGAGGTACCACGACACCCTGTGAGGCTGGCCCACACAGACTGGGGCTTCAGGGCTCATGTCCAGAGATCTTCTGAGTGTGCCAGGTGTGCCTGCCCATGATCTGAGGCTGGCTGAGGCTGGGGCTGCATCTTGATATCAAGACCCTGTTGGGGGGACCAGCAGTTAGCGTAATGGCTACATCGCTGGATTCCCACGTAGTCGACCGCAGTTCACGTCCTGGCAGCTTAAACTCACGCCGGGCACGTGTGCGTGCGTGCCCAAGATCCCGAGAGGAGAATGGAGGAGAAGGGATTGCAGCGTGGCCATCCCCCTGGGGGGTGATTTCTCGCCTTCTGTCTCTCTCTTTCTGGCGAGTACACGCACCCTATAGCAAAAAGCTCTCCACCCCCCCCCAAAAAAAAGGCCCTGTTGGGGTGCTGTCTATTTAGCTCTGCCTCTCTCTCTCTCTCTCTGTCTTGCTCATGGAAGAAATAAATCAATAAAAAGGAAAAGAAGAAGAAGAAAGAAAAAAAAGAAGGAAGAGGAGGAGGAAGAAGAAGGAGAGAGACAGACAGAGAGAGAGAGAGAGAGAGAAACAAACAGAGCTAAGACTAAGATCCAGAGGGCCAGTAGGTGGCATGATGGCTAAGGTGCTAGATTCCCACATGGCTGATGGCGGTTCAAGTTCCAGACCTGACAGCTTGAAAATCATGCTGGTTATGCGTGCAGGCAAGCCCAAAATCCCAGGAGGAGAATGGAAAAGAAGGGATTGTGATAGTGGACATTCTCCCTAGGGGGTGATTTCTCACTTTCCCTCTCACTGTCTTTCCCTGTCTCTCTCCAATGAGCATGCATACCCTATGGCAAAAACCTTTAAAAAAGAAAAAGAAAAAAGACTAAATACCCAGGTTCCTGGCCCCAGCCCTGGCCTCTGCATCAGCTCTCACTCCTCCCTTCCCCACTTGCTTCCCTGGCTGGTGTATGCTCTGCCCCACTCATGCCTACTACCCGGCACATCTAATAGGCACGACGACTGTCCTGACATGCTGCAAGGACACTCTAAGCCTGTCACATATTCTTGCAAGCTTTGCGATCTCTGTGCCAGTAACTACACTAACTAGGAAAGAGGGCAATGTAGGGGTTTCCAGCATTCCGGCACCCAGCGAGCGCAGCCTAAGCAAAACATTTCATAAGAAAGCAAGTTTTAGGAGGAAACCAAAGAGTTAAACCTGTCTGAGTTTACTCTCATTTAAGCACACCCAAGCCTCATCTTCTAGAAGGTTATCAGTGTCTAGCTCCAGCTAAGGGGATGGCGGACTCCTTACTGAAGTGGGGTGGGGGGCTGTCTCATTTCTCCAGGGACAGGGAGTCTCCATTAAGCACCAGATTCCAGGAGTGCCCTTCGCCCATGAGCTCCTGCTGCTTGGGTTTCCTTATTACTTGCTACCAGTTTCTACAAACCAAAGTGTTAGGAGAAGAGAAGTCGGTAGAAAAGAGGAAGCAGAAAACTGCTGCCTAAGCTCAGGTATGGCTGGAAAAAAAACTGTTTTGTTTTTTCTTTTTTAGGTTTTACCACAGGGCACACGCACTCACCAAAGAGAGAGTCAGAGACAGAGAGACCAAAAGTGAGAAATTACCTCCAGGGAGGTATGGCCACACCACAATCCCTTTTCCTCCATTCTCCTCCTGCGATCTCGGGTACACGCACACGTATGCACCCGGCCTGAATTTCTAACTGCCAGGTCTGAGATTCAAGCCACGGTCGGCCATGTGACAGTCCAGCACCTTAACCACCAGGCCACCCGCTGGCCCTGGAGATAAACTATTTTTAGTCAGGGAGAATAAAGGTAAATGCACATCAATTTAAACATGTCCTATTTGTTTCTGAGTATCATTTTTAGCTGGCTCTTTCAAGTCCACATCATTAACCTTTACTTCCTCGGATAGAGAACAACAAGTGAAACAGGACATCTAGTAGGGATTTCTGTCTGTATCCTCTGCAAGCGCAGCTCTGAAAGTGAAAATAAGCCACATGCCCCAACTTATGCAAAGTGGAGAGGATGGGGAGACCACGTAAGATGAAGGTTCCGGGTAACACAACTTTGAAATACTTTCCAAAGAATTTTCCAAAGAATGAGAAGAAAACAAAACATGCCCCGCACCAAATGAAGCAGAACTCTCTTTGAGAGAAGCCCTTTGGGATTTGGAGAGGGCCTTGGGCAGGTAACACAGGCAACAGAACACTCTAATTCTGGGTCATGTCCTGCAACAGGCCGTTTTGAATTAATCCCTGATCTTAGTTTGCTTGTCAACGGTTTCTTTCTAAGCCAATTTCATAGAACAACAATAAAAAACAAAGCTCTAGCCAGCCCTGTGGCCTGGTAGTTCAGGGAGCCAGATCCCACGTAACTGATCACATAGTTCAAGTCCCCGCCTTGGCAGCTTAAAAAACACTGGGCATGTGTGCACGTTTGCCCCAAATCCTGAGAGGATGGAGAAATGGAGAAGGGATTATTGCAATGTGAACACGTTCCATGGGGGTACTTTCTCCCTCTCCCTCTATCTGTCTCTCTCTGATAAGCACATACACCCTCGGGGGGGGGATTAAATCTGAGTTATCTGTCCTCCAAAAAAAAAGAAAAATGGACATTTACTAAATTGGAGTAGGCATCCATGAAAGCTATTTCCAGGCCCTGGGTCCTGTAACTTTATTCTCTACCCTCCACCTCTGGCAGTGAGTCTACTAAACTGTTTATCTAACATCGAAGGGGCAGAGAGAGCCTGCCAGTCACTGAGTCATCTGCAAGACACGAGCTGTGTGAGGTCAGGGACCATGTGTATTCTGGGTGTAATACTAACAGTAACAGTAACCACTGACACTAACCTGAGCACTTACTATGGCCAGTTACGGTTCTAAGTGCTTATTTAGATCACTTCACTGCATCTTCTTAACTGCTTTATTGAAATATAACCTATTGAGATATAGCACACAATTCACTTAGTTAAGTATATGATTCAACTGTTCCTATATAGGCACAGGGATGTGTGACCATCACCATTTATCTCGTGCGGGATCCCTGTACTCAGTATTCTCCCCATTTACGCCATCCTCCCACGCCCTAGGAAACCACTAATCTACTATCTCTATAGATTTGATTCTGGACATCTCATATCATCATCTCATTTAATCTTCACAACAATCCTATGAGTAGTTACTATAATTGTCTCATTGCCCAGAGGAGGAAACTGAGGGCCAGAGAACTTAAGTAGCTTGAGCAATGCAATACAGGTAAAGAGAGTTAGGATGCAAATTCAAACTCGGGCTCTGTGCCTGGCTCCAGAGAACACACTCCTCACCAATCCACTACACAGCCCTCCTGAAGATACATTCCCACTGCCTGCGAGGGACTGGCATACGGCAGCCATTCAACAAACACTTGCTAACAGCTCAATGGGATAGTTGTATTAACACATAGGGAGCGTGGAAGATGGTGTGGCAGGACCAAAGCAGAGCATGGACTTTGGAGGCAGAGAGGCCGAAGTCTGACTTCTACTTCCGCCATTTAGCCACTGTGTGACTTTGAGGAACCTATCCTCTCCGAGCCTTGGTTTCCTCCATTTTCTCATCTGTAAACTGGTCTAGCATTTACTTCATAGGGCTGTTGCAAGATTCAATGAAAGAATGTATGTAGAAAGTACTCGGTATATAGTAGGAATTCAGCAAATGCTAAGTTTAATGACATGGATTATTACTCTCTGTGTTACTACCAAGGGCAGATCAGTTACCTGACCGAATGTTCTATGTCATGACCTATGCTCCTCCCCTGTGCGTCTCTCACATACAGGGTGGTATTGATGGCACTGAGTAAACCCCACCAAACTCTATCCCAGGGTTCTCATTACTATTTTTTTTTTGAGAGGTTTTTTCTTATTGGGTGCGTGCGCTTGCCAGAAAGACAGACAGAGACAGAGAGATAGAAAGTGAGAACTCACCCCCCAGAGGGGATGGCCACGCTACAATCCCTTCTCCATTCTCCTCTCGGGATCTTGGGCACACACGCACATGTGCCCGGCGTGAGTTTAAGCCATCGGATCCGGGACTCAAACCACGGTCGACTACATGGGAGTCCAGTGACATAGCGATTAAGCTAACTGCTGGTCCCCCTCACTGCTTTAATTTGCCAGAGGGCTCATGCACTCGCCAGAGACAGACATAGAGAGGGAGACAGAGAGGGAGGAAGCACCCTTCCATAGTGGGGGCATAGTCATGCCACGATCCCTTCTCCTCCATTTCTCTATCCCGTTGGGACTTGGAGCACATATGCACACATGCTGGGTGTGCTTTCAAGCCACTAGGGCTAGGATTTTAACCACATGATCAGCCACGTAAGCGCTGGCTCTCTTTACTAGCAGGCCACAGTGCCAGTCTCTAGGTTTTTTGTTTGTTTTTAATGAGAGAGAGAACACACAGGAAGAAAATACATGGCTATTTTATTTTTCTTTTTTGAAAGGTGGGCATTTTTTTCCTAAGAATTATTTTATTTAACTTTATTTATTTATTTATTTATGGAGAGGTTTTTTTTGTTTTTTACTATAGGGCGTGTGCACTCGCCAGACAGACAGAGAGAGACAGAGAGATAGAAAGCGAGAAATTACCTCCCAGGGGGGGATGACCATGCTGCAATCCCTTCTCCTTCATTCTCTTCTCAGGATCTTGGGCATGCACGTGCATGCACCCAGTGTGAGTTTAAGCCACCGGGTCTGGGACTCAAACTGCAGTCGACTACATGGGAGTTCAACGACATAGTCATTACGCCAGTTACTGGTCCCTATCCCAGGGGTTCTTAACCTGGAGTCTGTGAGTGAGTTTGGGGGAAGGGATGGATCCATGAATACTCTGAAATTCTTTGTTTTTCTTTAATAAAGAATTATTTTGGGGCCTGGCAGAGGGTGTGGTGGTTAAAGGTGCTGGACTCCCACATGGCCAACCATGGTACGAGTCCCAGACCTGGTGGCTTGCTTTCTTACTTTTTTTTTTCTCTCTCTCTCTCTCTGTCCCTCTCTGATCAAATTAAAATAAATAAATAAAGTTAAAGAAAATAATTTCTTTTTTTTTGGAGAGGTTTTTGCTATAGGGTGCGTGCGCTCACCAGACAGAGACATAGAGACAGAAATCATCCCCCAGGGGGGATGGTCACGCCGCAATCCCTTCTCCTCTATTCTCCTCTTGGGATCCTGGGCACGCACGCACACGCGCCCGGCATGAGTTTTAAGCCACTGGGTCTGGGACATGAACCGTGGTCGACTATGTGGGAGTCGCTTAAAACTCATACCAGGTGCATGTGTGTACGTGCCCAAAATCCTAGGAGACTAGAGGAGAAGGGATTGTAGTATGGCCATGCCCTCTGGGGGGTGACTTCTTACTTTCTGTCTCTCTGGTAAGCACATGTGCCCTATAGCAAAAATGGTTTTTAAAAAAAGAATTATTTTATTTAACTTTATTTATTTTATTTTATTTTGACCAAAGAGGGAGAGGAAGAGAGAGGGAGAGTGAGAGAGAGGGAAAGTGAGAAAGCAAGCCACCAGGTATGGGATTTGAATAGCCATCAGCCATGTGGGAGTCCAGCACCCTTAACCACCACACCACCCACTGGCCCCAATCTCCTGAAATTCTGAGGTCATGTTTCTTTTTCCTTTTTCCTTTTTCTTTTTGAGAGAGAGAGATTTTTGCTATAGACACGTGGACTCACTGAAAGAAAGAGACAGAAAACGAGACATCACCCTCCTCGGAGGGGGATGGCCATGCCACAATCCTTTCTCCATTCTCCTCTCAGTTTTGGGGGCACCTATGCACATGTGCCTGGCATGAGTTTTAAGCCGCCCGGTCCAGGACTTGAACCACAGTCGACTACAGAGAAGTCGAGCGACATAACCATTATGCCACCTGCTGGTCCCCTGAGGTCATATTTCTGGGGGCAGGGTTGGGAGCTCTCATGAGTTTCTCAAAGTGGTCTCTGATCCAAGAAAAGAGTAAAAATTTGTGTCACAAATAAACTTATGGTTCTCTGGCTAAAAATCTGTGTTTAAGTCTGAAGACTTCTAAAAGTTAGTGGAAAAAATGGAATTAAAGTACAAGTTTATTTTGGTACAATTTTTAATAACTCATATACAGTTTCATAATGTGCATTTTCTGTGAACCTTTTGAAGACCCCTTATCTATCAACAGGTTTGTTAATAGACATTAACAAATTCTATTATTCACACTACTTCATATTCTGGATAAACCTTATCTTCAATCATTTCAAGAATCTCCTCGGCTCCCCGGTAGCCTTAGATCGCCCCTGGAAGATCAGTGAATTCGAGTCCAGTGCTCCTGGTTCATTTTTTGCTTAGAGCTCTGCAACCAACCATGGCATATTAAGAACTAAGACCCAGGGTCCAGCAGGTGATGTGATGGTTAAGGCACTGGATTTTCACATGGCTGACTGCAGTTCGAGCCCCAAACCTGCAGACTTGAAAATCACACTGGGAGCATGTATGTGCATGCCCAAAATCCTGAGAGGAGAATGGAGAGGGGACTGTGACATGGTCATTCCCTTCCCCCACCAGGTGATTTCTTTTCCTCTCTTTGTCTCTGATGAGCACACATTCTCTGTGGCAAAAACCTAAAAAACCAAAAACCAAGACCCAGATATCCATCTGCCTTGCACACCAAATTCCCACTGGGTCAAAACCCAAGGCTGCCACCTTAAGCATTAGAGGGGTTAGAGAATGGCAGATTAGCCCAGAAGCCCAATTGGTGCTGACCCTACAAGACTGAGCAACTCCCAAGTCGGTCCCCCAGTGGTACAAGTGAAGACCCTGTCTATCTCTACCCAGGGCCGTAAGTTCTCAAGGCCAGCAGTCCTCTCGGTAAAGGAAAAGGAAGAATGGTTATTCAGGGAAGAGCCTGTTATGGATTGATTTCCCGCACCAATATCTTCTTCCGTTTTCCAGTCTCCTCTGGGATAATGGCTTCCCTAACCCCAGGGATGGAGTGATTTCCCACATCCTAGGAGATACAAGACAGCTATTCCTCATGTTAAAATGTCATATATGGAGGGGCCAGCAGAATGAAAGAAAAGGGACTCCCACATGGCTGACTGCGGTTCAAGTCCTGAACCTGGAGGCTTGCTCTCTCGCTTTCCCTCTCTCTCTCTCTCACTCTGTCCCCCTAAATAAATAAATAATGTTAAATAAAATAATTTTTAGAAAACACCATATATGGAGAAGGCACCATAGAAGGGGGACAACAAGCCCCTTATTCACTTTATGAAGGCCTTCCAACCAGGCAGGAAGGGGTCAGAGGAGGCTGAGAGCTGCTGAGCAAAGCAGACCACCAGCGTCTCGACCCCCTGGGCCCTAGTCCCACACTCACCTTGGGTCTGTGGGAGCTCCGGGCCGTGGGCTTGGCTTGTGGCTGCTGCTGCTGCTGCTCTTCGCCTTCCTTCTCTTTGCCACACTTCATCTTGGGTGGCAGAGACTCGGCCACGTCGTCTGCCTGCCATTTGTTCTTGCAAGCAAAGACCCCTATGCTCTCCTGTTTAACTCGCGCCTGCCCCGCCT